GCAATCAGGACGTATGTGGTATAATCGTCTTAGTGAGTATTTATTAAAGGAAGGCTATATAAATAATGCCATTTGCCCATGTGTTTTTATAAAGAAAACAACATCGGAATTTGTTGTACTTGCCGTATATGTTGATGACATAAACCTTATTGGAACTCCTATAGAACTCCAAAAGGCAATTAATTATTTAAAGAAGGAATTCGAGATGAAAGATCTTGGAAAGACAAAATTATGTCTTGGTTTGCAACTTGAACATTTGGCAAACAGAATTTTTGCTCATCAATATGCCTACATAGAAAAGGTACTGAAACGGTTTTACATGGATGGAGCACATCCATTAAGTACTCCGATGGTTGTTCGATCACTTGATGTGAATAAGGATCCATTCCGACCTCAAGAAAAGAATGAAGAGCTACTTGGTTCTGAAGTACCATATCTTAGTGCAATTGGTGCACTAATGTACCTTGCTAATACTACAAATCCTGACATAACTTTTTCAGTTAATGTCTTAGCAAGGTATAACTCTGCTCCTACAAGGAGACATTGGAATGGAATCAAACACATATTGTGGTATCTAAAAGGAACTACCGATATGGGCTTATTTTATGGCAATAATTGCAGTCCTGATCTTGTTGGTTATGCCGATGCTGGGTATTTATCCGATCCACACAAGGCTCGATCTCAAACAGGCTATGTGTTTACATGTGGAGGAACTGCCATATCTTGACGATTGACTAAGCAATCAATTGTGGCTACTTCATCCAATCATGCTGAGATAATTGCTATTCATGAAGCAAGTCGAGAATGTGTGTGGTTGAGGTCTATAATACATCTTATTCAAGACAAATGTGGTTTGAAGTGCGACAAACTGCCCACGATTTTGTATGAAGACAATGCAGCATGCATAGCCCAATTGAAGGGAGGATTCATAAAAGAAGATAGGACAAAGCACATTTCACCAAAGTTATTTTTCACACATGATCTTCAAAAGAATGGTGATATTAATGTGCAACAAATTCGTTCAAGTGATAATATGGCTGATTTGTTCATCAAGTCTCTACCGACGTCAACCTTCAAGAAGCTAGTGTACAAGATTGAGATGCGAAGGCTCAAGGATGTGAATTGATGCTCTCATCAGGGGGAGTTAATGCGCGTTGCACTCTTTTTCCCTTACAAGGTTTTGTCCCACTGGGTTTTCCTTGCAAGGTTTTTAACGAGGCAATCAAAAGGCGTATTATTAGATATGTGTACTCTTTTTCCTTTTCTAGAATTTTCTTCCCATTGGGTTTTATTTTAGTTAAGGTTTTAACGAGGCACATTATCTGTTGAATAGACATTCAATGGGGAGTGTTATAAATAGAATTTTATTTATGGTGAATGTCTATATTTAGAGAGATTCTAGGGTTTATTACTTGGTGACTAAGTTACTCTCTCCCTATAAATAGAGGGTTCTATTCCATAATAATTCATCCCAAAATTCAATAAGAATTCTCTCTCTCTGCAATATTGTTTTTCTACTTTTATTGTTTTATAACAAGTAAGATATCATAAATTACTAAGGGTAGGAAATTAAAGAATAACTAGAGTAAAGAAGACATAACCCGATATTGACGCCACTGTTCATGTTAATTCAACTCTGAGGCAAACATACTGTTTCGGGAATATGTTCCCTCCTTTCCGAAAATATTGAAACAACGTCAATAGTGACACTTGTTATAACGATGCAAATGCACCCTTAATTTGTACTTCTGAAATTGTCTATTCTCTTTGATCAGACCCTTAGGCAATTGCCTTCACAAACACGGTGAATTTTGTATTTGCTTCTACCATACAAATAAGACTTAATCTATTTCCATTAGATTACAATCTGAGTTGGTAGGCAATCAAGTCATATCTTTTTGAAGTACAATTTCCATTTTCTTTTGGCTTCATGCCAGTTCTTTTTTAAACATCAACAGCTTACATTTCTTCAACACCATGAAGGTTTTCTTTGCAATCTTTCCATGTACTTATGATTCCACTCCGTTTTTCCCTTTTATCAGCCTCCCAAAAGTAAGTGAGGGGATTAAATTCCTTAATGACACACTGTGAATTCAGTGGGCTCGGAATTATTTTTGCATTTTCTGTTCTAACTTCTATTTTTTCTGATTTTCTAATTTTGAACACCATAATACCAACAGTATCCTTCTCTTTAGTTTTTGAGCATTCAAAAGAACAAACACCCAGAAACAGAACAACCAGTGGCTAGATTATAGCTTGGAAACTGACATCAAGATCAAGGCATGTGAGTGCAGTAAGTGTGATCCAAAAGAAGAACGGGTACACATGCTCTGTTTAATCCAGGCCAAAAACTAATCTTACAGAAAAATTGTAGCCCCATCATAATGTGCATAATTGACATTTAACATTCAGTTACAAATACACCTTCCAGATTCCAAATCAAACACGAAAACCTCTTATATGAAAAATCCTACACAAACGTTAAATCTTGTGTAATTTCAATTATATAAGGTGTTAAGTGTTTGGTATGAAACACACTAGGTATTTCGTTACTAAGTAAAAATAAGTTACCGTGACAATCAAAAGGAAAATTGAAATTAAAAATGAAAAATTTCCAAATGTATATATTAAATTCTATGAAGCTTTAGAAAAAGGAATATACTCTTTCTCCTCACCTGTCTAATACGTACTATATTATTTATTTGAAATCTTACTAGAGCTGCTTAAACTCAATACTCTACCATATTTTCTTTCACATTTCAAAGCGGTAACAAAGTTTCAAATGTTTAAAAATGAAAAAGAAATATTCTTACTGTATGGGTCAAAATCTGACCTAGGGAACCTTGTCTAAGAGAGGATAACTATGAGCCGATTAGGCCGATGTCGTGCTTAGGAAGTAACATACTGGCGAGCTAAGTAGCTAGGGTCGAGGTCGAGTATTCAGATCAGGCCAAACGGCTGGTTTAGTAATAAGATATTTTAGAGGAATATTCTACAGAATATTCTCTGCACTTGTACTTTCAGTTAGCTAAGGGATATGTCCCATATAAGTAGGGATAGAGAGAGAAGAAAGGGTATGTACTCTCTTGAAAAGTTGACTCTCAAGTAAATTACAAACATTGTCTTTACAAAAAGATTCGATTTGTTGTTGATCCCAAGCCTTCTCACATCAGATCCGAGAAAGCTTTCTATATTCCCACGTTTTTTTATCTTACATCATTGTCAGAGGGAGAATCATCCACCATATTGAATATCTGGGTGAATCATTCTCTCTATTTACATTTATTGCCATTTAATATATTTATTGCTTGTCATTACTCCCTCAAACATTCATAACAATACCAGTAAACACCCCCTTGGTATTAAATAGCTTCAAGTGCAATTTTACGTTATTCATATCTACCAATTTCAGATCTAGGATTTATTATGTTTAACTAGGATTTACCCATTATCATCTTATTTAATTAGTTTAACAAAAAGATTTAGCACTTTTTGGACGTCTGTGGGGATTTTCTAGTTAAAATTTTAGTTTCTTCTAGATCTAAAAAAACAACACACAAACATTGCAAGATCCCGTATTTCCTTGTTTGCACAAATCTGACATGGCAGGCAACGGAGAGGAAAAGAGGAAGGCGATAGCTGACCTCACCACCAACCTCCTCCACACCATTAACAAAGTGAAGGAAACGGAGGGCGAAGAAGACATAACACCAAACATCTCTCCCAGGCGAAACAACTCGCCTCCACCTCTCGGTAGTGTCACGACCTCGCACGGTAAGGGTGCCTCTACATCCACAACAGAAGAGGCACCACTGGTAGTGAAAAAGGTTACTTGAGGCATGGTTGACAAACACGCTAACTGGCTTCCTCGACAAGCCCGCTCGAAGGTCGAGTAGGGAAGAGACAAGGGCCATTGCATCAGCAGCTGACGAGCAGCACCCCCCCCTGCAACAGGTATCACTCACAATTTTAGTGATGCAGGTAATGACACCCCTAACCCAATTTTGAGGAAAATGGAGGAGATGGAGAGCGAGAACAAAATGCTTTGTAACCAAATTAAAGAGCACCAAGAAAGGGTAGACAAAATACCGGATGCCCCAAAACTTCTACCAAAAAGAGACACCGGTCGGTTTGTTAAGCAACCATATAGCGACAAGGCTGCACCGCACGCCATACCAAAGACCTTCAAAATGCCGTCGTACTTAAAAATATACGACGGCACGACGGACCCGGAGGATCATGTGACCCACTATGTCACTGCAGTAAAAGGAAATGACCTCGCAAAAGAACAAGTATCGTCCATATTGCTGAAAAAGATTGGAGAAACCTTAACCGGGGGAGCACTGACTTGGTATCACAGTTACCTACGTGCTCCATAGAAACGTTCGAGGAAATGGTAGACAAGTTCATCACCGCCCATGCCGGAGCCAAGAAAGCAGAGGCGAGGGTGAACGACATATTCACCATTAAGCAATCGCCTGGCGAAGGGCTTAGGGACTTCCTCGCCCGATTCAATCGTGTAAGAATGACCCTTCCAAATGTATTTGAGGGGATGGCGGTAGCCGCTTTCCATAATGGACTAAGCAGAAGTGGGTTGAGCGCGACCAAAAAGTTGCTGAGCTGACTCATGAAATACCCTCCAACCACTTGGGACGAGATACACAATGCCTACTGTGCCGAGGTAATAGCCGACGAGGACGATCTCAACGGCCAACCCAACATCTGATCGCGATCCAAATGGAGTCTAGGAAATACCAGAGAAACGACAGCAGGAGAGATCTAGCGGGATCTCTAATCGAGAGAGACAATAGCCTTACATCAGAGGCACCCTCTTGCCACCTCCACGCCACGATGAAGGTCCATCCAGGCCATGAACGACAATCCACCGAAATGAGAGAGGTATGCCCCCTTTATTATCTGCTCATAATTTTTATGTTTCCTTCTCAGAAATAGTCTACGCACGGGAAAAGTTCGGCCCAAAAGTGAAATGGCCATAGAAGATGAGATCCGACCCGAGCACCAGAAAGTCAAATGCCCTCTGCGAATTCCACCAGGAGCGGGGTCATAAAACCGAGGATTGTATCGCCCTAAGACTGGAGGTTGTGAACATGCTTCACCAAGGGCACTTGAAAGAGCTGATGAGCGATCGTGGAAGGGCCAACTTTGCCCGAGGGCGGGAACAACACCAGGGACCGCCCAAATCGCCTTCTCCAGCTCGGACCATTCAAATGATCATCGGAGGAGGCGATGATGCATCTATCAACAGCGTGAAGTTCGCCACCACCCACAAACTCAAACGGTCCATCACCCACGAACGGCATGATGAACTCGAAGAAATTATCATCTTCGATAAGTCAGATACCCACGGTTTGGTCCTTCCTCACTATGCGCTCTTGTCATTACTTTACGTGTCTTTGATACTGATGTAAAACGTATTATGGTTGATGACGGGAGTAGCGCGTGCATCATCCACCCTCGAGTCCTCACCCAAATGAAGCTCGAAGACAAGATAGTGCCGCGTTGCATCACACTAACAGGCTTTAACAATGTAGTTGAGCGGACATCTGGAGAAATCACGCTGCCCGTCCTGGTCGGCGACATCACTTTGGAGACCACGTTCCACATCATAGACCAGGATACGGCGTACAATGCCATCATAGGCCGACCTTGGATACACGCCATGAAAGTTGTCCCCTACAGCTTATACCAAGTCATTAAATTTCCCACCTCCTAGGGAGTATTCTACATCCGAAGAGAGCAACGCATGGCTCGAGAATGCTACTGCATCGCCTAAGACTGCACATACACCCATCTATTAAAAGAAATGGCCGAGGAGGCATAGCAATTAACGAAGTCGGGGTCAGATGGTGATGAGAGGAAAGACGTCATTAGAGACCCCAGAATCGTAGAAACCGCAAGGTCAACCGTAGAGGACCTCAACCCCATCCAACTAGACGATAACGACCACAGCAAGAAAGCTTTCATCGGCCATAAGCTCCAAGATCCAGGTAAATTTTGCCAATTCTTAAAAAGTAACGTAGACCTATTTGCTTTTCCCATGCAGACATGCCAGGTATCCCGAAGGAGATAGCAACTCCCAAGTTGAAAGTCGACCCGTTTTACCCCCCCCCCCCCCCCCCGACGAGGCAAATTAGACAAAAGTTCAACTCCGCAATAAATGACGCGGTTTGTGAAGAGGTCAAAAAATTGTTAGAGAACGGTTCTATTAGAGAACTGAAGTACCCTCAGTGGGTCGCCAATGTGGTTATGGTGAAAAAGAATAACGGAAAGTGGCGGATATACGTAGACTTCACAGATCTGAACAAAGTCTGCCAAAAAGATTCATTCCTGCTGCCCCATATCGACCAACTCATCGACGCTACAGCCGGACATGGACTGCTAAACTTTTTGGACGCCTACTCAGGCTACAACCAAACCCTCATGGAGGAGGAGGACCAGGAAAAAACCACTTCCATCACCTACCAGGGGCAATATATCAGAGGCTAGTGGCCAAAATGTTCAAAAATCAAATCGGCAAGACCATGGAAGTATATATAGACGACATGTTGGTCAAGTCAAAAAGGAAGGAAGACCACATCGACCACTTTAGGGAAGCCTTCGACATACTCAGAAGGTACGACAAGAAATTGAACCCCGAAAAATGTGCCTTCGGCGTACCCTCTGGAAAGTTCCTCGGCTTCTTGGTATCGCAACGAGGCATCGAGGTTAACCCCGACCAAATCAAGGCCATAGAAGGAATGCCAGAAATTTTAAACAGCAAGAAACAAGTGTAGAAGCTGATCGGCCATATAGCCGCCCTGTCGAGATTCATCTCACGGTCCTCCGATAGGTGCCACAAATTTTTCGGCGTACTCAAAAAGGATAACGGACTCCAATGGAATTCCGAGTGCATCGACGCCTTAAGAGAGCTTAAGGCCTACCTGTCTTCGCCCCCGTTGCTCGCTAAGGCAGAACCCGAAGAGCGTCTCCTTGTCTACCTGGCTGTGTCAGACGTCGCAGTAAGTGCCATCCTGGTACGAGAAAATAAAGGTACGCAGTCTCCAATCTACTACATTAGCAAAACTTTGGTCGACGCTAAAAGGAGGTACCCCCACCTTGAGAAGCTAGCTCTAGCCTTGGTTGTAGCTTCACGAAAGCTTAGACCTTATTTTCAGTGCCACCACATCTCGGTGGTCACGACTTTTCCTCTAAGGAGTATCCTTCACAAACCCGAACTGTCGGGCAGATTGGCCAAGTGGGCCATAGATCTGAGCGAGCACGAAATAAGCTACCAGTCGCGAACGGCGATAGAGTCGCAAGTAATTGCGGACTTCGTCACCGACTTTAGTTTGAAGATAATGCTCGAAGTCAAAAGGGAAACCGCCAGGACTTCCACCAAAATGCACGACCAATGGGTTCTGTACACCGATGGCGCGTCTAACGCATCAGATCTGGACTGGAACTCATGCTCAAGGTCCCAACATGCGAAGTATTTCGCAGTCCATACGGTGCCCTGATATAACTAACAATGAGGCCGTGATCGCAGAGTTAAAATTGGCACTCAATATGGAGCACGATGAGTAGTCCTGCGATGCGACTCGCAACTCGTCAACCAAGTCACAAGGACTTTCCAAATTAAGGAGCAACGGCTACAGAAATACTAGGACGAAATTTGCAAACTGTTACTCGAGTTCGACGAATGCCAGCTCGATCAAATACCCTGAGCGTAGAATATCGAAGTGGACAGCGCCGCCAAATTGGCAGCAGCCACCAAAAGCATAACCGGAGAAGGGGTCATGGTCACCTGATCGCAGCCAACTCCGCACTACTAATCGCAATAGCTTTTACCCAATTTTGGGTCGGGATCGAATCCACAGAGAGCTAGGATTTGAATCGAGTATCTATCTAGTTTAGGATTGTGTATGTGCTCTTAATTGGTCTTCTATTCATTTTTGGATTTTCTTTATGAGTCTATTTTTATCAAACTACTAATTGAAAATGCAACTAGATTAAGCAAAGAGATAAATATTACAAGTTGTATCTAATGGTTTAAAAGGCACTAGGGTAGTGACATCCGCCTAGGTGGGCAAATGACGGGTACTTGAAACTAAGGCATAATTGACATGATTGGAGAATATGATATAACCGTTGCACTAATTTACCCACTCTACACCTCTCGGTGGTTCAAGTGATTTTGCCCAACTGACTTTCTCAAGACCAAGTGGGTATGCTAATTTGCATAAGCAACAAAATTTCAAGTCGGGTATTACTCTCTCGAGATTTAACCCTTTAATTGGGGCTATCAATTTCTTGAGTTCGCCCCAATTCCTTGTTGGGTCAACTTTGGAGACTTAGATTCTCTTTCTCGAGAAGAACCCTAGTCAACTAAACACAAACTAGTGTTTGCAACCACTAATTCAGAAATTAACCATGAAATTGACCCAAATAACAAACACCCATAATCAATTTAGCCCTAGATTACAAGACCCATCAATTACCCACACTAAGGTTGAACCACAACCCTAGCTAATGGGTCTAGCTACTCATATTCAAAGAAGAAAAATAAGAAATAGATGAATATGAACACATATTAATTAATTGCTAAACTAATACAAAGATTCAATGATAAAAAGTAAGCGAAATTGCCCAAAATGGCTTAGAAAAGTCGCCTCACGTGTGCAGCTTACGTATTACAATATCTGATGACCTAAAAATAGAAAAAGAATTTATTTATACTAAGCTAAAAAATCTGGACAAAAATGCCCCTGCGGGGTTAGTGCGGACAGCACAAAATGGACCGCGGTCCGCACTGGGGCTTTGACTTTGAAAAATGGCTCTCTGAACTTGAGCTCGGCGGACCGCACAGAATGGACCGCGGCCGCGGAGGCTTCTAATGCGGTCCGTAAAAAGTTGACCGCGGACCGCATAGGCTTCAAACTTGAAAAAATCATCCTCTCTGAATCTTGGCACCGCGGACCGCAGAGAATGGACTGCGGCCGCATTGCCTTCAGTGGGAACCGCACAAAATGGTGTGCGGCTGCACTGCCTTGAAGCCTGAAAATTCAACTCTCTGAATCTCCCAGTACGGACCGCACAAAGTGGTGTGCGGCCGCACTGGGCCTGTTCTGCATGAGCTTGCCTTGTTTTTGGTACATGTGAAAGTTTCACTCCTTTTGAGCCGATCTTTGACATTTTATCACTTTGTTGATCAAACCTGTAATCAAGCACAACTTGTGAGCCTTTCGGGACTATTTTGTATGAATATTTAATCAAAGCATAAGCAAGAAGGAGTATAAAATGTGTCAAAATTTCTAGTTATCAACTCCCCCAAACTTAAGCTTTTGCTTGTCCTCAAGCAAACAAAATAAGACCCACTCCTTAAGAGAATGTCCTAGAAGAATTTCAGCTGTCCTAAAGTGACCTCAACTAGCCTTAATTGGGACTAACAATTGCCCTCAATACACATGAATCATTAACACATTTACTCTTTCTTAAAAACACCATGGATCAAGTGCGACACAAGAGCATCAAGGATTGACTCAACACATCAAAGAACTATTTTCTATTACTTTGGTCATTGTGGAACCCAAACTCACACATTCTCAACTCTCCCTAAGCAGTCCTCACCTTTAAGATAGTGGCACTCAGAACGAGGATAATGAGAATTCACTCATCTCTCTCAAGAAAAAGCCTCAAGTCTGGTTCTAGGTACCATATGCTTGCCCCTTATGTGAGTATCCACTAATGTAAGCTTCATTCAACTCAAGATCATATAGCGCTTTTGTGGAGACATTGTGAAGGCTTTTGGTACTGTGTAGGAAATGTTTTGGTCTAAGTAGGTTCCATCTTCCCTTAAGCACTTTTTTTGATTTATTTGGCATCCATTCACTTGACTCTTTGAGTCATTTAACTTCTTTTTAAGGGGTTAGAGAGACACAATGTCACTCTTTCTTGTGCATTTCAAACCTTTTTTCCTTTTTCAACTTTCCACACCTTTCATACTTTGCTTTTCTTTGAGCTTAACCTAGTTTGTATAATAACCCTCACGACAAGATCTTTCACTCGGGATCTTAGATTCTGAGAGAGAGTCTTGACGCGAGGGTTTTTAGCAACTAGATCTAAAAAAAAGAGGAGTTCTTTAATTTTTGTTTCTGTTATTTCTGTTTTTTTATGTTATGTTTTTTTATTATTATTATTATTATTATTATTATTATTATTATTATTATTATTATTATTATTATTATGTGCTTTATTATTATTATTGTTCATGTTTATTTCCACAATTGTCATTTTTTTTACTGTTATGTATTTATTGTTATTTTATTTACTATTTTTTATTTTTTATTAGTAATTATTATTGTTAGTTATATTATGTTCAAATTAATTAATTAATTAAAACAGACTTAACTAATAAATAAAATTACGGCTC